TAGATTTGATAACTTCGAATATTACCTAAGATATTTATTTTATTCCAATACATATTCACGTGCCTTGCCTTTAATACAGTAGAAAATACTTCTAAAAAATGACAAAAAAGATAAAAATAACCAATTCAGTGAGTGAATATTAACTTCGCACTGTTCAGCTACACGAGGGCTTTAGGCGACGGAGCTCGTAATTTTGAACCATGGTCAAGTGACGAGGACGATACCTGAGCTGGTGAAAGTTTTTGTTTCATTACTTTTTATTAAATGCATGCATATATACATATCTACGTAAATAAAATGTTGTCTAACAAACTAAATTTTGTTGAATATATGTTTCTTTTATTCAATATCCTTTTACACGAAATTGTTTTAACAGGAAAAAAAATATTTCAGTCCCCCTCAGTTTCGTGTTAAACGATTTTCACTGTATTTTTCTTTTGAATATTTTATTTTAACAGAGCTTTAAGTATTCCCTCTTAAGGAAAGAAAAAGTTCGTGACAGATGCGAAGGGATTTTAAGCCACGCCCAGCCTGTGTGAAACCATATCTGGCACCGACAACTAAGGTGACAGATGGATTTTTATTTAGCATTAAGTCGCGTACTACAGTGCATATAAATTCTATTTTTCGTCCCATGTTGCTTTTGAACTCCACTCAAAGAGGAACTGAGAGGTAATACATTCCTATTTTTGATCTTACATTGTCAGAATTTGGCTACCAATAAAAAATTACGTAAAAATTTAGCAGAATTTACAGCTGATAAATAATAATAATATAATTAAACCTTAAAAATAATAAGAAAAACAAGAGTAATTAATATCCATTTTATTTCAAACTTGAGCAAAAGTTTTTTGATGTTAATCATTGTACTCTTTCAAATAATGATTAACCCATACGGTAAAGCAGTTTATGAAAAACAAGTAACATAAAAAAAAAAGACTTAAGTCAATTCCTACTTACGTCAACGAAGAAAATTTTTATTTATTTACTTTTCATTAAATAATTAAATTTAATATATAAATATGTATAATACATATGACAGAATCATAATATTAAGTGACAAAATAGAAAGCGATTTTCCTTGTAATTTTCAATTTTCCTTCTGTATAGGGTGTTGTGGACTATTATTTTTTTGTTTTTTACTACTTATTCATTAATTAAATTTAATTATTCTAATAAAATAAGTACAGTAAAAAGAAATAACATTCTCAGAAATTAGGTCACCCCAGGTGGGACTCGAACCCACAACCTTCGGATTAGAAGTCCAATGCGCTATCCACTGCGCTGCTGGGACACAAAGAACGATTTTCCTTTCTATATATGCTGTTGGACTATTATTTTTATTTGTTACTATTTATTCATTTTTAAATTTAACGAATGAATTAATATTTGAAAAAGCTGTATTATAACATCAAGTATCATCCACTACAAGTTTTAAAAATGTATTTGAACTTGAATGGATGAATAGAAAGTATTTTACTAACGATTGATAATTTGAACAAGATATATATATTTAGGGAGATTGTGAACCAGGAATTGAATATAAAAATAAGAAAAACAGGAGTAATTAAGATTCATCTCATTTAAAAGTTGAGCAAAAGTTTTTGATATTAATCATTGTACTCTTTCAAATGATGATTAATCTATAAGATAAAGAAGTTTATGAAAAAAATATATATACGAGAGTCACTCTGAAATTTTTGAGATACTACTAGGTTTTTAAAGATATACTTACAAAATTTTACAAGTGTTCAAAATAGTCTCTTCCAGTATCAATGCACTTTTATAGACGAATTTTCTACAGATTAAATGCCTGAAACAATTCATTTCTTGAGATTTAATGAAAAAATGCATTTATGGCCACATCAATCTCTTCTTCTGAATGAAAACTATGTCTACGTAAGTTCTTTTATAGATTAAAAGATAACCAAAAATCACAAATAGCTAGATCCGGAGAATAAGGTGGATGTTCTATCACTTTAATTCGTTTTTGTTTAAGAAACTCAGCTGTTAATCCGGTTGTACGGGAAGATTTTATTGCTATGAAGCTTAGTCCCTAACATTAACTTCTTGGAGAATTTCTGGAAGACATTTAGTGGTATACCAGTTTGCTGTTACTGTCTTTTGTCCTTCCAACTTGATGGATTTAATGTATCCCGTACTTTTGAAGAAAACGGCATACATTACTTTTTTAATTGCTCGTTGGCTTTTCACCATTGATGGCGTAAGATCATCTTCAAAGACCCATAGTTTACTTTCTTGACGTGTCAGAACGTCAAAAAAAGGCGGCTTACACGTTTCATCACCCGTTACAATTTTAGAAAAAATGTGGTGGCCACCATCGCTTAGCAATTTATGTGATTTTTTTACTGTTTCTGACACGCTCTTTTTGGTGCTCAGTTAGATTATGGGAAACCCTAAGGCAAGCTACTTTTTTCATATGTAATTCTTCATGAATAATTTTGTATATGGCTGCGGATCCAAAGTTAAGTTATTTCTATATCATTTGGTAGGTACAGCGATTATCATCCATTAACATTTTTCGTATGGCAAACACATTATCCGGGATTACTGCCGACCGTGGCTTTTCTGTGTGTTCATCCTGAAGAGAATTGTGACCACTGCAAAATTCTTTAAGCCATCCGAATACAGTAGCACGACATGGAGATTCATCACCATGATACCAACCCTCTAACATTGTTGAAAAGGACCACTATGGTCGAGATGGTCTGAGCAGGCATTATGGCAGACCGGCAGACCGACCTTCATGGAAGTACTTTGACAGGTCAGTGGTGCAGGGACGAGATCCTTGCACCTTATGACAGACATTTCCGTGAAGCATATAGACCAAATTTCATCTTTATGGATGACAACGCACGCCCACACAGTTGGAGTACAAATACCTCCAATAGGAAAATATTCAACGATTGGAGTGATCTGAGATGTACCCTGACCTTAATCCAATTAAACACGTATGGAACATCCGGGGGCCCCAATTGCGCCGGTACGCCAATGACACGATGAGTTCAGTGCCGGGTTTTTCCATTGGGTTTTAAGAGCACTCAGGGGCCCGGATAAGCAAGATTTGATCAGATTTTCTGGTTATAAATTCCGATCCACCAGTGCCAAAAGGGCCCGAAATGAGTTTAAATCGAAGCTGGATGAGCTCAAGAGTGCCTTGGTGCAAGAGTGGGTGTGGTTGCCACAGAGGTTGTAAGAACCCTGATAAACAATATGAAACACCGATTGTAGCTGTTAGAGGCGATCATTCAACCTATTAGACATACTTTTCTCTGACTGAGAGGGCCCTGGTCAGTTGTTTTGCTACACAAATAACTAATTTTCTTATTTAGGGTACAGGTTGTGCCGATGTTTGTTTTCCCATACATTGGTCTTATATCGGAGGATATTTTGGCCAAGATTGGTTTTATTTGCTCTGTTAGTTCTTTTATTGCAATAATAATAATAATAAAACATTTGTTCCTTTAATTGTTTTTACCAGTGTATTTCAACCCCAATTAGAATTATTTATATTGTATTAATACATTTATTGGCTCTTTGTAATTAACAATTATTTTACAGAAATTATTGCAAAAAAGTATTGTTTAAAAAATATTGTTTCGTGATAATCTGATCGTTTCAAATTAGATTAGATGTTTTCTGCGTAAATCCAAAGTTGATTCGCCCGCCTTGGCACAAGGTAACAGTACCGGAGACGTACAGAACGCCTTCAGGCATATACGGAGAGTTCTAAATTATTTGGCAGACATAGTAAACTTTTGTTTGTCCTGTGGATAAAATAGTTTTATCAAATAATTTTTTCACAAATTTTAATGATTTCTTTCCTTTTTTACAATTTAAGTTTTATGTTAGAGTATTTCACTTTTACTAAACGAATATTAAATATTTCTTACAAATTGCCTTTTTTCAAAACATATACAAACTCAACAAATATGAATTGATTTTTTAGATAAAATTTTTAAGGCTCTAGAAGTTTTAAAGCTCGAAGAACTCTGATAAAAGATATAATTTCTCATTTGCTTGATTTTAAAATTCGAATAATTGTGGGAAAAAAATTATGTAAGCAGCATGTAATTATGTAAATTTGTTATGCACATTTTCTTCCCTTCTCCTGAAAAAAATAATTGTATATTTTTCTATAATGAGAATGATTTTTATTATTTGAATTGCGTATAGAAAGGCATAATATATGCATTATGTCAAGTAATTCTATTTTCAATATATTTCGCTTAGTAACCTGCGAAATAGGTAAGTAAATCAATTAATGGTCGACACATATTATTGATTTGTTATAAAAGCTTTTTGAGTAATAACTTAGTTGTTGCTATATATATATATAGATTGTAACATGTCGTCAAGGTTATTAGCAGAGTTTAGATGCTACAAAACTGATCGGAATTCATTACAGAAAATTTCACTGTTCTCCGTTAATTGGGGAAAATCATTTTGGAACCATTGTTTTCAATAATATTGAAGAAAAAAAAAAAATATCGATAACGTTAAAAATATTTATTGTTTGGAATATGTCAAGTAAAAAGATTAATAGAATTAGATTGTATTCTATATTTCTCTCTCTCTCTCTTTCCTGTGTTAGATACCCTATTTATTTTTGAACTTTTCACATATTTTGATACAAGATCTCTAACCTAAGACTCGGAAAACATAATGCTGGCCACGAGTACACGGTCTTTCACAACTACCGTAGCCACCGATGAAACTGGGAATTAAAAGATATAATCTCTTTATTATTCATCCGTATTCAGAAATAGTGTATTTACCAGGGGTTTATCCATCTTTTATATAATATCTATTAATTTTTCTGTAAATTAAAAATATCTAGTGTTAAAAATTTGAACATTAAAAAAAAGTATAAGCAGCACCACACATAAAAGAATTAATTTTTACTAAATATTAGAAAAAATTTTTTTTAAGTAATCAAATCATTATCCAAACCGAAATAAACGTCAAGTATAACAATTAAAAATTCTCATAAATGCCTATATGTAACAGAACTGTCTTTCTCTTTCAAAAATATCTACAAAATTATATTTTTAAAACCTGTTATATAATTTCGGTATGGTATATCTAGGACGAACACTTTATCGTTTTATGAAATTGTAACCTTTCTAGTTGATCGGACCATTTTAAGTCAAAGAACTTGAGGAAGATTTTGGGAAAGTGCTTCAGTCGTGAAAATTACCCTACTATCCCCAGATGGAGCGAATACATCTACTTTTGTTTTGAATATTTTGATATTTACGTGAATCGGATTTTTATACTTTAGGAGAATAAAACTTTTGGACGTTCAAAAATTCAATTTTTCAAACACATTTCTAATAATTAATGTAAAATATTAGGAACGCTTTAAAAAGCAAACCGCGTTGAAATCCGCCAGTAATTACACTCTCTGCAGTAAAAAATGTAATTGTCAATCAGTTGCGTAACGTACACCCTCGAAATCCCCACATCGCGAGGGTTGCAGGATTCTAGGGCAGTGGTGCGCAAACTTTTTTCGACTGCGACCCCTTTTGTAGAGGGAAAATTTTTGGCGACCCCTAAAGATAAAAAGTTCACAAATATGTAAATAGGCATTTCTTTCGTTTTATCGAAAAAAATAATCATTTCTGACACATATTAATATTATTAATAATTTAAAAGAAAATATTTTTGTATAACATAAAATCGTAAATTCCCTTTTTAAAGAGCTAAGTGGCTGCAAGTTTCTGATTATCTCATCGATGTTCGGATGTATGTTGCTAATTACAATTCACTAATCAAATCTATCAAGTCTTTCTCACTAATTTGAAGAGTTGAACTGCATATGTCGTAGGGAAATGGATCACGAATTCAACCAAGATCGTCTTCAGGAAAGTGCTCGAATCTTCTAAAAAAATTTTTTTTTAACTTTACAATGTGTTTGGGAAATGATTTTTAAATGTAAATATATCAATATTATTTTTTTTGATAAAATTTTTAAACAAGGGAACATGTCGGTGTTTTTTTTATTCAGTTCAGTTTGCCAGAGAAAAACATTTTTAAAAGTTTGAATTTTACTGGCTGAAGTTATGATGTTAAATTTCCCTCCCCCCTGCAGCTCAAATTTAAGTCGTTAATTTTTTCCGAAAAATAAACAAATAGCTCATTTTCAGAAACTTCATTGATATAATAACTTGCCAATCTATGTTTCTTTTGTTAAAATATTACACTTCATTTCTCAAATCAAATATTGCCGTAGTTTTTTCCCCAGGGAGAGCCATCAACCGGTGTGTAACA